GTCAGGCAGAGAAAAAGAAATACCACATGTTCTCACTTATTGGTGGGAGCTAAAAATAAATGAATTAATTCACTCACATACACACACAAAAAAGAAATCCGGGGGGTGGGGGGAGAAGAAGATATAACAACTACAATCTTTTGAAGTTGTTATAACAAGCAAATGGAAAGGTCCTTCTTGGGTACGTTACAACAAGCCAACGGAAAGGACATTCTTGGGTGGGAGGGGGGAGAGGGAGGACGGAGGGAGGTTTCGGTGATGGGCCATAATAACCAACTACATTGTATATTGACAAAATAAAAATTTTAAAAAAAAAAGAAAGAAAATACACAAATGGCCGATAAATCCATGAAAGTTGTTCAACATCATTAGCCTTCAGGCAAAGGACATTGAAACCGCAATGAGATGCTACTTCATGCACATTTGGATGGCTGTGATAAGAAAGACAGATAACAACTGGTGATGGTGATGACTGGGGGAATAGGAACCTGCACACATTGTGCAAGTCTACCTTTCAGGTATATACCCAAGAGAAACGAAAACACATGTTCATGCAAAATTCTGCACATGAATGTTCACAACAACATTATTCTAAATAGCCAAACAATGGAAACAAATGCCTTTCAAATGATAAATAGATGAATAATGGAATGTTACTTGGAAATAAAAAGAACAAAATCCTGATATGTGGTAAAGTGTGAATGAGCCTTGAAAAGTCAAAGAAGCCAGTCACAAGAAACAGCATATTAAATGATTACACTTATACGAAATGTCCAGAATATGCAAATCTACAGGGACAGAAAATGAATTAGTAGTTGCCAAGAACTGGGAAAGAGGAGCATTGGGAAAGGGCGTGGATTTGTTTTAGGGTAATGAAAATGTAAATATTCTAAAATTAGATTTTGATGGTGGTTGCACAACTCTGAGAATTTATTAAAAAGCACAGAATTATACACTCTAAAAAGCCTGATGGTACAGTATATAAATTATATCAATACCTCTGTTTAAGAAAGCAGGAAGTAGGTAGGATTTGGTCCACAGAGGCCCTTGTTTGGGGTGGTTTGGAGGCATACTATGGAAAGGGGTTTCCAAAACAAGGTACCACTTCTTGATGGCATATGTGGCCTGTTGTGGCACCACGACCAGCCCTTTAGGGGAGCACAGTGGCAAGGAGAGCTGATTTCATTTATTCACCTGTGTTCTGTACCCTTTTTT